CTCTGAAGTCAAACGAAAACTTCTTAAATATTCCATCTGTTTCTACGACGGAAAGAATCTCAAAATTAAAAAGACGGATGCAATAAACTCTAGGCCATTAAAGTAGGAAACCTAGGTGCGAATTTACAGCTCTGATATAGAAAACAATACCTATCTTAATTGCAGTAGCGCAGCTCAGGAAATAAAAAAAACGGAAAAGCAATTAAAAGTTTCTGCTTATTTATGCAAGATTGGTTTGGAAACCATCGCATGAAAAGAAATTAAATTTACGAGTATAAACTCAGCTGCTATCTACCATGAAAACCAATGTTTCCATAAAGACCATTAACACTTATATTTACCTAAAAAAACCATGTAATAAATAACAAAAGTGCCGACAAGCAGGTGCATATGATGAAAGCGAGTAACAACAAAAATCTATTCAAAAGCTACTGTGGTTTTTTATGCATTTTTTGATTTATTAAAATGAAAGGACTTGAAATGGTTAAATGTGAAAGTTTACGAATGAATATGTACCGAATAACACACACGGGAAAAATCAGTAAATTTTCCCGTAACAGCGTATAGTTAAAACAAAAAATGTATTTCCTCCTTATTCCCTTTTAAAAACTAATTACCATGAATGTTCTTCCGTCTACACTGAATTACCTTGTGTGAGCTGTGCATAAATCAGGTAGAAACAGACATGTTTTGTCCAACATCATGTTGGTGGAGCATGTACAACCACATACACTTCAAATGCCTCCCTCAACATTGTGTTTGATGGATTCCTAGGTTTGTTCTAAATCAAAAATATTGATTCAATTTTTGATGGCAATTTTGCATGTATCGAAGTATGAATACACGCAGAAGGTTTGGATAGCACGAGAGAAGCGTCGCTCGAGGGGCAAAGGTCTTCCCTTGGGCGGCTACAACACTGGTATTTTGATGGACAGTAATACCATTTTGGAAGACCCGGATGAGCTAGTTTTTTTTGCTAAACTCGCATGACGAAGCGTTTGTAGTATTTAACTATAACTGGCAGTTGAACTGACGTTAAAGATGCAGTTTGTTACAACTCACACGTCATGTTATTTACGAACAGTTCTACGTATAGTTAACAGCCAGTCCACGATCGTGCGTTAGATATAAGGATGGTAAAAAGCAAAGAAGGGCGTAGCGCCGAGCTAACTGTGACCGGTCACGTATCCAACCAAAATAAATGGAATTATAGCCTCGGTTAAATAAAACGCTGATAAACCTTGCTATGGTCGCTTACTTAATTTGTTTTCACTCTAAATATTTTTTTGAAATTTAAAACAAACTGAAGTCACTGCTTCTTTCTATTGTCAAAACAGAAAAAAAATCACAAAACAGAGGTATTGTTATGCGACCAGAACTGAATCAAAATCCAGTGCTAATCAATTTACACAGTCTGTTCTGGATATTTTTAAATGAATTCAGCAATTTAAAATCCAAGAAGTTTTCAAGAATACGAGGGGAGGTGGAATACTTCTTAGACAAGTATTCGATTTCGTGGGAGTTTTAGCTCATCGATAACTGAAGCAATGAAGTTGTGCACAGCCTTTTTAAAAAGTTTTTTGCTTTGTGCAACCGAGCGGAGGAAGTGATCGAGAAAAAGAATTCAGCGATCAGCACTTTAGTAAATTGAGTGACTCTGATAGAGCGATCAAAATCATCATGGCTTCAAAGGAATTAGATACGACAAGCAGATGCTGTGTTGTTCGGGAAAATATATATAGCCTCCATTTAACTCGAAAAAGTAGTCGTATCCTTTCTATCGACAAGTGAACACATCTTATAAGAGTGAAATTTAAAGAAAAATCTGACCGACCTGGAAGCCATTGTGAGTAAAGGACGCTCAGTACTCGGCCAGGAATTCGTATATAACCGAACGGTTTATCAAAATAGACTAATGAGTCATCGAAATAATAAAGAACAATTAGAAAAAGTAAGAGTGCCGCATACCATTATAGTAGGTCCTTCATTTAAAGTCCCTTGACTGCGATCATAATGAGGTCAATCGCGGCTAACTGTCAATTCGGCTGTCGTTCGTTCGTAAACATACGAATTGAGCAGTTTGTTCTCTAATTGTCATGTGAAAAAAAAACTGCGTTTCTTTATGAGCCACAATTAGATTGGATTTCAATGCACATTTCACTTTAAGATTTTGTTATAAGACTAAAAACTACAGGCAACAGTGGTAAATTTGACCTGCCGAACGTACTATTTCCTTTGTTCGCTTCGAAAACCAAAATTTGTTTTGAAAATAGTCCGTAATGCATGGGAAATTTGACGGATTCTTTATGATAAAAAAATAAAGAAAACTCCATCAAGGGTGTGGCTCCCATTTGTACTAAACAATATCGTTGCAATATGTCACTTTGAAAACAATCTAAGCTAAGAGATAATGCGGGTGAAAAACTGATCGAGAAGACGGGGAGTTGTCTGTTACACTACCATCAGCTGACTCTAAATCCACAATGTTTGGCTCAGTAGCTCGATGTAGCAGGGTTTGCTTTGAATAATCGTTGTAATCCGCAAGTTTCGTGTCTGTTCATGTTCTGTTATTATCACTTTGTAGCTACCATTTAGTTTCCTTGTCAATACACGTGTTTACATCTCGTACCCGTGGTGCAAAATCATGCCTCTAACAAATAAACATTTATTCGTTTGCCTAGCCAGTTCAATAAACAAATTTTGGATATTTATCTAAAACATAATTTACATTTAAGGTATCTGTCCGAAAATGAAATCGAGAATTTACCCAAAGGGATTTTCAGCGGCACGAGAAAACTTCAGGTTCTGTAAGTACAACATTCGCAAAAATCACCCGATGGATTTTTCTTTTTTTGTATGCTCAGGAAGCACTCCATATCATCCGATGCCATACGATGCCGTATCATACAATGACATTACAGACCACACCACATGTAGATTACTGAGGACCACATAAACCATCTCATGGCCACATTTTTCCCCATTGAATCACAGCACATCATATCATTTTGAAACCTTCAATACTGCTCAAACTTTATAATTTCTGAAACCCTTAACGAAAGACATACCTTACTATCTCATACCGCACCACACGTCATCATAAAAAAAGGAACACCACAACACATCACATCACACTTTGCCATATCATACCACACCACAGCACACCATATTATGAGAAGGAACACCGCAATACATCACATCACACTTTAACATGTCATACCACACCCCAGCACACCATATCCTGAGAAGGAACACCGTAACACATCACATCACACTATATCATGTCATACCGCACCACAGCACACCATATCATAAAAACGAACACCTCAGCACATCATATCACACTTTTCCATGTCATACAACACCAGAGCACACTGTATCATCAAAAAGAACACCATAGCACATCACATCACACTTTACCATGTCGTACCGCGCCACAGCACACCTCAACATTCTCGTCATACCACGCAAAACCACTCTTTACTAATTCACACTATAACAAATGATCCACAACACATCACGCCACACAGGACTTTCCCGTGAGCAATTGTCCTAGCCTCGTATTACGGTGGATATTAAAGTTTTGATTTTTTACTTCCTAACGCAGACTTTTTTTTTCTCCGCAGCACTATTTCTGATAACAAGATTCCCAGTGTCACCAACGAAAACTTTAATGACCTTCCAAAATTGGTTATTTTGTGAGTTTATAGCCACTGATTAAATTTATCATTAGACCACCACATCATATCTTAGAGCCCACTGGATCATACTGGGCTTACTAAAAATGAAAATTGGTTTATAGCAATGACGTCCTGAAAAGAAAAACATTTCTAAATTGAAAATCATGAAATAAGAACATGGTGTTCTAGCGCTAGTTTTATATTTTTTGCATCAAAAATACAGAGAAACCGTAATTACTCTGTTTTCAGTTGTTGTTGTTGTCGATTCACCTACAAGAAGATCCTGAAAAGACTTTTTTAACCCTTTAACTCCAACGAGTGACCAAGAAAGCATTTCCCCCTACAATATTAATACAATATCAAACAGAAAAGTGATGAGAATAGGGAAAACATCAATAAGGGGATTATTTGTTGATCCAACACCAAGTTCTCCAAACTGACAATATAAGACTGAATGGAAGGCAGAATGATTAATGTGATCTTGGGAATGAAAGATTTAACGACTAAACTGCTTGAATTCCAGGGAATATTATCCTGCTGCAGTTAATATGTCGTGGTACAATAGTACAGTAAAAATACTTAACTGGCTTATTTTTGAGAAAAGATTACAGGTATTTATTGCGAGCACAGTGCGAGAGGCACCTTTAAAGAAATCGGGATCGCCAGTTTACACAAACCTTAGGGTTTGTCCCGAGATTGACCCTGGTTAGCAATTAGACTGGAATCCGGAGACGTTGGGCTATAAAGAAGGATGAGTCTTCACGGCGTTTAAACATAATTTAAACACGCAACAAGGGGGCACACGTTTTGACATCACGGTGTAGTTTCAATTTCTTATCCATACCTATTTATCGATGGTAGCCTTTTTTATTTTTAGGAATATGCAAAAAAACGAAATGTCTGAGCTTCCTCACGGGTTTTTCGATGGAATGAAGGACATCATGAAAGTGTAAGGTTTTTTCAGTGGTCAGTGAAACGTACAATATCATATTATATTATGCTTCAAGTTTCCTGCAGTACCGACTCCGCAAATATTTAGCTGGTTTATGTCGGTTTAACCTACTGACAACTTGTAGTTAAACAGAGATTGTTGTTGAAGTTACAATCTTTTGCAAGTATATGGTTTCCTTTTTCCTTTTTTGAAGCCCCATATAATCACAGCCTATCTCACTTAGCTTCAAAATCAGTGGAAAGCTTGATGCCTCAAAGACCGTTCGATTCACTATCCTTAGATTGAGCCAACAGCGACCTGGAAAATAAGTTATACCCCATATTTTGATCATGACCTTTCAGTGTGAGTGACACCATATCTTCTGCGTTTTTATCCTCACTGTATTTGCCCTCTACATTGTGGATTACAGGATAGTAGACACCAGTCTTATGTGTTGTCATCTGACAAAAGAAGACGCCCAATGCACTGCTCTATACGACGACAGCTTCGCCAGTTGCGAGAGCATGTTCCGCGACTCAGCTCCACGTAAAAGTATTTGGGCAATCGGAATCCTCTCTTTGCTTGGTGCTGTGTTCGTAATTGTGTGGCGTCTAATCTTTAAAGAGAGAAACGTAGTCCAGCTTATCATGTTAATGCACTTAGCGGTTGGGGATTGCTTGATGGGCATTTACTTGGTCACCTTAGGTGCCAAAGACCTGTTATGGTCGGGAAGTTACTATCTGCATGACTTCCAGTGGCGATCCGGTTTGTCGTGTCAGGTTATAGGTGCGATCTCAGTGCTGTCCAGTGAGGTGTCTGTAATGATACTGGCGCTCATTTCCGCTGACAGGCTGAAGAACATCGTTTTCCCATACCATGGCAGAGGGCTGACTCGCAGGAAGGCACACATTCTGTGCGCGATTATTTGGGTCCTTGGTTTTGTCATCGCATTCCTTCCCCTCACTGGCATTGGCTTTTTTTATGACGCCCTAGAGCGCCCTGCCTACTACGGACGTTCCGTAGTGTGCCTCCCACTGCAACTGTCCAACAGGTTTCCAGCTGGTTGGGAGTTCTCCATCGCTATCTTTGTCGGGTTAAACTTCCTCCTCTTCCTGTTCATGACGGTGGCCTATGTCGCAATTTTCCTTAAAAGTTATCGCTCCAGCCGTCAGCTTGCAAGGGTGGGAACCCGAGGAGAGGTGCAGACAAGAAAGAAGAACGCAAGTTCCAGAAGGGAGAGAGCATTGGCCAAAAGAGTCTTCCTTATCATCCTCACAGATTGTGCTTGTTGGATGCCGATAATAGTCATGGGCATCAGGTCTTTTGTTGAAAAAGATTACAGTCCCCGAGGAGATCTTCCTGCCTGGATCGCCGTGTTTGTGCTGCCAATTAACTCAGCCTTGAATCCAATTATCTACACCCTATCAACCCCTCAGGTATGTCAGGGACGTAAATTAGTAAAGTGCAATCGACGTATTACTCCACCGTGTCTATGCGTTAATTACGTATTCTCGCGGAATGCTTAAAAGTGGTAATGAAAGATATACTTCGTAGGCTTCCTAGGAAAAAACTTTATCGTGGAATTATCGTCCAGTGGGAGAATTTGTTCATAAAAGAAAGAAGTGGGTAGCTTATCAAATGTTGCGATTACAAATGACATTGAATTTCAAAATGATTTGTTTCACACAAAAATCTCCCGCTCCTTGAAAAATATTATTACAAATATCTGCACGTGAAATTTCTGAAAGCTACTTGAACAATTTCTCATAGTTCATGTTGAAGCATTTTGAAAATATCAGAACTCGATAAATGGCCATGCAACTTAACAGGCTGATTCTAGCAATCGGCTCTCCTTGTGTTTAAATTGTATGATAAGTTTTAACACTGTTTATGAAAGTTACATTTGTAAACTCTCTATCATATTCTATCTTAATTTATACAGATTTAATGAAATATTCACATTTCGTTCCCCTAACAGGTGCAGGGCATATTGCGACCTAAACTGCGAGTTTTGATTAACCATGTGCGCAGCTTTTTCTCTTGCTGTAAAAAACAACAAGATCATCAAGGTAAGATTTACCATTTTCTCTGGTCACTGTTAAGTCACTATATAGGTGGGAGGTATCATATTTTTGTGATAAGAAA